AAAAGGATTTTTTTTTATTCATAGTTCTAAATTATTAGTTTCAAGAAAGCAAGCTGTAAAGGGGTTTAGGAGTTCTGTCAGTGCACAGACTCTGATGTTAAGCTTACAGAATTAAAGAGCATCTTTCAAAGAGAAAAAGATATCACTTATTCATTGTTAGTGATGTGACAGGCACACCAACCTTTACTTTTTCCATTATTATTTTTCTTTTAAGCTATGAGGGCAACGGGTGAAACTTCTTTGTTTATTAAAAAAGAGACATAAATAAAAAACCCAAATGCCATTCTGTCAGATTGGTCATGGACTGTATGGACTGTTTAGACACCCATATATATAATATACACCCTTTTAATGTAATGTGCCCATATAACAGGAGTGGAATTATGTTTCTGATTATATTCCATTCTCCTCATGCCATTAGTAAATGCTACCCCTCGTAGTAGTTTGAGCTTTGCTCTGCTTCTGCTTTCTGGATCATTTCTTTGCAAAATTACAGCAACTTTTTAAGTCTCCTTTCAGACATTTTAAATAATATTTTTAACCTGTGTATGAGATTCAGAGTGTTGAAAAAGTTGCTTCACCATCTACCTTTGAATAAAGGCTCTATCATGCATCAGAGCCCCTTGAATTTATGTACTATAGTTTGCTTCCCTCTGTGCTACCCCTCTAACATATGACATCAGGATGATTTTTCAGAGTAAACACCTTAAGCTGTCATTTTTCCATATAGTGGAAAAAAACTGACTTCTTCAGGAAAAAAAAGTAGTTTTTTTTAACCAGTCTTTTCTTTTTCCCCACTTCAGAACTGATTATTTACCATATGATGTCGTGAAGAGACCTTTTCGGGCACCAGCAGAATATAGACCAAAGTCGGGAAAGATTGACCTGGGGACCATATACCAGAGAGATTATAATCCTCATAAAGTAGGACCAGTGACATTAGCAAGACCTCGAGAGAGAAAACACACTACAGATGCAAAATTGGATACCATACCAACCTATCGAGGTAATAAGATATGCCACCTACAGAAAGAGAAATAACCAAGATGGAGGGAGTATTCTGAATAATCTACATTAGAAACTGGATTTGTTAATTTGGGACAGAGTAAGACATGACAGAAAGCAGGTCATAATGCCTTAAAATGTCAAGCACTCCAGTTGTTCAGGGGTGACGTTCATTGGTTCTAAACGAAAAGCCCTCTCCGAGGTTTTCTTGGCTAGAAGGAAATTCTAACACACACTTGGTTAGGCTATCTCAGGCAAAAGTGGATTGTAATTAGAGTGCAATATATCTTTCAGGTAGTTTTAGTTCATGTGACATATTTTGCCACAGAGTAGGTCAAAAGTGGATTTTGGATTTCTGCTTGTGTATGTTATAGCTTGTGTATATATCATCCTAGTAAGGATCTGTCTTGACACAAATTATTCTATTACAAGAGTCAGCAGAAAGGAGCTAAATCTCCTTTTATGTCATTCTGGGAAGTGACCTTGATAAACTTTACACCACTAGAGAATTTTATACATGTGTTACTGAATTTGTTACATGTACTGCATTTTAGCCAGTTAAAAGTAAGTAGAAATAAATTACAAGATACAATCTACTGAAAATCAAGATGTTCCACATTACGATACCATTGGTATCAAAGAGATAGTTGAAATAAAAAGGATCAGATATGGGTATTAAAACAGGAAGTTAGAATTCTTGGTGTGAAATAAGCAGAGGAGAGAGTGCAGTGACAGAAGAGCTGGAAGGATAAAATGTAGGAAAACAGTCTCTTTAAAATCAGCTATACTGCACTAGCTTCTTCAAGCTTAGGCCTCTGCTAGACAGAAATGCATTTAAGTAAATACATTCTATTTATATTTATTAATTGTAAATAGTTACAAGGAAATGGAAATATTTCTATTTAGCATGCACATAAGTAGTAAGTTAGCAAATAATGAATAAATTAGCCTTGTCCCAGCACACAACTTAGACAGCATGCAATTGCTTTTAAAAATTTAAAATGCATGTTAGCAACATGAAACAGGGAGTAAGGATGAAGGAGTGAAAAAACACTGAAACTAAGTACAGGAATTGCAACCCAAAAAACTGATTTCAGGTGCCTGTGAAGAAGCTTAGACTGGGCAGTAAGTTTGGTAAGTTTTGTAACTATAGCAGAACAGTCTGGCAAAGAAAACAAAAATCCCAAGAAGCTTTAAAAGGATGTAATGTTGATATGGAAGTTAAGAGATGATTCTATCAAGCAGTAGTGAACATGACCCATTGACCTGTAAGGTTCCTTTCACTCTTGTATACTTGCATAAACTTCTAAGTAAAATGGAAGATATTGTATATAAAACTTGTATAGGGCTATTTTCTCTATAAAACACACACTAAATAAGCACATGCAACATTTTTTTTTCCTTGAGAAAATAGTCAAAACAAGGCATCATGTACAATTCTCTCTGTTTTAATTACACACTATAATAGAAGACAGTTTTGCCATATCACAAACATGCAGATAAAATTATCATTCTCACTTACATCCATTTTCTTTGTTTTGCAAGATTTAATACCAGAAGAATTTGTCTTAATTTTAAAGGAATAGTCTTAAGAACACCTGTATGGTGGAATTTCGTTTTTGCCTTACAGATGACTATAGGTTATGGGAAGCTCAAAGAACGGAATCTTGTAAGGTGGAGCAGACGTACCAGCCACCTACAGAGAGGTTTGGAAATCCTTCCACGTTTCAAGATGACTACATTCCTAGGGAACCGAATCCCCCAGAAAGTTTTAAACCTTCTGCAGCCAAGCTGCCAGATGGGCCTTTCGATGGGAACACCATCCATCGCACTGCTTATGTTGTTCATGAGATGGAACCACGATTCGTAAGACCAAAGGAAGAGTACAAGCCATGCGACCAACCCTTTGAAGATCTCACAACCCACCAGAGAGACTTCAAAGGGATACCTGGGCAACAGGCAAAAAGCTGCAAGCCCGAACATAGAAAAGTTGGATCTGATGCTCCTTTTAATGGAACCACTGAATTCCAGGATCGTTATCAGCCAGTGCTGGTTTCCTTGCCTGAGTTCCGCAAACCCAGAGAGTACGTTCCACCCACAGACAAGATGGATCTTAACTCCACGAACCGTCTTGACTACATTTCACATAAGATTTCTCCTGCTGCCCCCATAAGACCACCTCATGGAAGAAGAATTAGTGCACCTTTTCAGGGGAACACTACTACAAGAGAAGACTTTAAACCTTGGAGCATCTGCCCACGAGGGCTTATTAAGAAAGAACAAGAAATTCCAAGACCCACGGGAAAATTTGCTGATTTAACTACATTCAGATCTCACTACATACCACTTCAGGGCACTCCAGCTCAAAGTTGCAAACCTGTACATGCTGTAGGTCTTAATGCAGTTCCTTTTCAAGATGAAACTCTGTATCGCATAGATTACACTCCAAAGAAAACAGAGATCTGCCCCGCACATCATCCCTCTAACCTGGGTTATGTCTATGTAAACACAGATTCTCAGGGTCACCAATTCTTCCGCCGGTTGAGTCCAGAACCCTCCGAGCCAAATTGTAATCCTATTCCAAACGAGGTAGCTGTGACATAATACTGAAGTGCAATATTTCAAGCACCCTGGTGAAAAAATCAGAATCCAGCTTGTTCAGTTTTTCTTTAAATAACACTGAAAGCAAATTAAATAACGCAAATTTTGCTTTTAGAAGTTTGAAGAAAACCAAAGCAAAACCAGAAGTTTATTACAAGACCAATAAAGGTTTGCCAAATGCTCCAGGAATACTACATCTTACATAGTATCTGTCCTTTTTTTGATTGTACATTCTGATTTCCTTGAATTCTCAGATATCATTATGCTCCATCTCAAGCATATGTATTGCACATTTAATTCTTCCAGATTTTCTGCAACCAAATGATTGTATTTGTGAAATAGCAAGTGTCTTTTGATGGTAATGTCCTTTACAGAAAGCAAATAATGCTATCTATAATAATCTAAGTAATCAGTAATAATCTCAGTAATCTGGTAAAGTCTTTTTCTTTACATTTTGCTGCTCAAATCACAAGATAGAATGCCATGACACCTAGGCATTTCTAAAAACCTGGGTTTAGCTTTAGTCATAGTTACTTTTCCTTCATTCCATTCTAAAGTGAGTGTAAAGGTCACACTGTAATTTCTGGTAGCAATCAACAAGTAGTAACCTTGGTCTTTTTCTGTATGTGTAGTTGAAACCATTCAAACACCAAAAGCAGATCATTAGACTCTGTTTTCTTATTTCCCTGATCATGCTCTTTCAGCCTTACTTCCTAAAGTAACAAAACTGATGCAAAGCTCTGGCCACACTGAAACCCTCAGTGCACGTGTCCTCAGCAGTTAAGTAATTTTTAAACCCAGTGTACAAATTCAATCAAATGTCACAATGAGATTGCAAAGATTTTTGGTTTTTTTTTTTTTTTTAAATTTCTAACGTAGATGGTGGGGAAGCAGAGAGAATCAGGTTCAAAAGGCTAACATCCACCATAGTTTGATCCTGCTCTCTGATTTTTAAAGCTAAACAGCAGGTTATCACTGCCAGAGTTCACTGCAGAGGCAGTCTGAAGGAAAAAATGGCAGAAAACTGTACAGGTGTAAGTAGAGATAACAGAAAATAGTGTAAACTCAGTTAAAAAAAGAAATATTAGCCAAGATGCAAAAATCTGTAGACAGCCTGGCTTCAGTCTGTCTGCTCTTCAAAGAATTGCTTGTTCCAAATAAACAGAAACCAAATTTTTTACAGACATTTTATATGACTATGCTTCTGTATGAGATATTTAGTATTTTCTCTATATATCCTTAGCTGATTTTGGGGAATCTAAATGAACCAATTAATAGTTCTATGATTAACTGTATTATCATGCTCTATCACAGTACTCCAGTATGATTTTTTTCTCAGTATTGCATATCTTACACCTATTGGTGTAGAACAGAGTTCTGCAAAATTATGTGCCTGTACTTCATAAACAAAATCAATCATAGAAGGGCTAAGAGCAACGATAGAAATATTTTTAAAGCAGGAACTTGGTCATATGAAAGCAAGAAAGCTGAACTGGACATATCAGCTGCGCACAAAAGCATTGCATGAGAGAGATCCAGACATCCTTAGAGCATCAGTCACTTTCAGACAATTCTTTTTTCATACTGTGTTTTGTAATATGACTTATTCTGTTAATGAAACAGCAATTGTTATACTTTTCTTTCTGAAGATTATTCACGTCCCTCAGATTGTGAATGAACAAGGACAATGTAAATCTGTGAGATCCTAAAAGTAGGACAGGAAAAAATCCAGCTCGTTGTCATCTTCCTTTACCACAGAAGAAAAACTTATGAACACCCCTTTTAGTCAATCTCTGTCTGGCCACAGCTGAGGAAACAACAAAGTCAAACCTTTGCACAGTTACATCTACTCAGGTCCATATCCTACACACAACCTTGGTACCTCTTGAGCAGTTTACAGAAGCTCCTAATGCCTTCCAGCTCTCTTTTCTAGGGAGGGAGAAATGCAATCTGAATCCATGAAGTTACGTGTGCCTGCATGTTCTGATCCAAATGGCTCTTCCTCTGAGTCTGTGAGTGAACCCAGATGCTTTTTTTAATTTACACAGCTGTTTTTTCAGTTCTGAAGTCACTTCCCTCCCCTAAGTTATGGAAAGTCATTTGCTGCCACCTACCAGCACGGTACAAAAACTTTGAGAGGAAGTGGAGGGCATATTCAGATACATTTAACAGTTCCTCTGCAGATGTCTTTAAAGACTTTTAGGGTGGAGGGGCATATTGCCTTTCATTTTGTCCTTAATGTTTTCTCCTAAGTTTAACAGTGAAAGAGAGAAGTCGTTATTACTTTACAGTTGAAAGAGCCACAACATATTGATGGTGCTTCCAGAAAAAGCATCAAATGATACTATAAACCTTCAGACAGTATTCAATACTTGATATCAACTTTTTCATAAGCAACATATTATTGAAATGCAGATCAAATGAAGAGCAGGCTGGAAAACTAATATTTTTCCAAAATAACAGCTGTTAAAAAAGCATTTTATGATGTCATGCTAAACCAAGATGTAAAAGCAGAGCAGTTATTCATGGATTCAGTTGCTATTCTAGAAGAGCTTTCCATGCACTCTGCCATACAGCAGCAGGCTGCACAGAATCTTTACTTTGTTTTCAAGACTGCAAAAAGGGAATGCACTGCTGAACCAAAGGAAAATTAAACAGACCTGTGCACCTTTGCCAATATTACCATCTAGGATAACTCTGGAACACCACCATCCACTGCTAGACATTTATTTTCTATTTAATAAAATTTTTTAAAGGCTTTTATTGTTCATGCTGTTTATGAGACTCTTCTTTCTAACGACTATTACCTATATTGGATATTCTGAAACAACTTCTTTTTCATGTAGCTATTGTCACCACTCACTAAATATAAAACACGGAGCTGTTCTGTAGGATCTAAATGAACCCTGCTTGGTGAAGGCCCAGCAGAGAAATGTAACTTTATTCCACCTTTTACAGAATTCTGATTCTAGATTTCAGTGAATCAGAGCTGACTTGTCTGAATTTTGGTAAATTCTCTTCCTTCTTTTTCACTCAGGTTACATCTATGTTATCTCTTAACAGTAGTGTAAACCAGACTGTAGTGAAGCTGAGAATCTGTCTGATAAGCTGTTAAAAATACGAACTGAGGCTCTGAAAAAATCCCAGAATGATGGACATAGGAAATTGATAAAATAACAAAGAATGAAAGCATGGCTACCATGAAAATCACGGTAATAAACAATCTCTGGGTAATCACAGTGTTGAATAATCAAACTATTCTTTATTTCAGAAATATCAAAACTACGTTCAAGAAAGCTAAAATCTTCAGTTACTGGAGAAGCAATAAAATAATCTACAGAGGAATGTCATGCCAATTGCAATAAGAAACATTTACAGCACTGCTTCTGTATAGCATGCATACTTAATCAGAGTTAACGCAACAAAAAATGCTATGTGTTAACATTTGAAAACTTTAAATATAAAGGGAAAACATGAATAAGAAATTTTGGTAATAAGAAAAAATATACGTCCAAAAATCTTTATTAAACACTGTACAAAACAAAATATTGCACTTTTAAATCAGACAATAAATATCTACAAAAGTATCTTACAAATGTTTTATTTTAATTTAAAAAAACGGCTTAAACAATCAAGACCCATTGCTGATTTTAAAGGTAATGATCAGGAATATCCTCTCCTTGCAGTCAGCCCTGGACTCAACAGTCCACCTTAAACATTTTCTATACAGTAGTGCTAACCTAATTTTCAGTGATGCAAACCCTGTGCAGGAATGCTGTGTAGGAACTGCTCTAACAGCACACCCGCTCGCCAGCCTGGAACAGCTCAGTGGTGTAACACAAGAGCCAAGTCAATGCAAGCACTCAGGCCTCCAATATGAGCAGTAGTTTGGAAACTACAAAAGAAAAAAAAAACATTTATTTTCTGCCTCCTGTGGGGTTCCCTCTGCTTGCAGCCCAAATCAGACAATCTGCAATATGGAAAATAATTTAGCCAGGAATATCATAATAAGAATTTATCAACTTGCAAAAGACTCAGATGGTTAATGGTCATGATGAAAAGTCATCTTGATGGAAAACTGCTCAAAATAGGCTTCTTTCACTTGTTTATCTTCATAATTAATAATTCCTCCTTGGACATTTTTCCCCATTAATGGAGAAAAATAAATGATTATTCAAGACGGGAAATCTGACAGCCGTGTTTGGCCAGTTATTGGCTCCCCATTTGACTTGATGGGCAAGAGAACAGTGATCACAGTTTCCTTCACAGCTCTGACAAGGAAGCCTTCTGTCTAATTTATTATCAGTACTGAAGTGTAATTGTGCCAGAACTTCAATCATACTTCAGAGACTGGAATTAGAATAGAAACAATAAAAAATGACACCTCATTTATTCAAAACAGCTTTGAAAATTGTTACTAGCATCTACAGTGTCTTTTACTGCATACACATAAGTACAAGCATGAAAAATTGAATGTACTTCTGTGTATCCATCTCGCAGCTAATATCAGTAAAACATATCCTGTGAGATCAACCCTTCAGCTCAAGCTGTTTATGAAAATGAGGTTGCTGCCAAAAATTTTACAACTTCAAGCCACAGCTTCTATAAATTTAAAAATTGTGTTAAATATAATAAAAAAATTGAAAACCTAGGGGTCAATAGTTGCTGCAAAATTTCTCAAAGTATTTTTGTGACATTTTCTCTTAAGTTAAGGACAGTAAGCCCTATCTGCTGTTTTTAGGTAATGCTTTTTTCCCCCCAATAAAATTATAATGTGATGGCCTGTAAAATTTTACAGATGATATGCCATGATATTATCTTGCTAATCCAGAAACGAAAATGTTTAAAACATTAAAAGTTCCATTGCAAAGAGTGAATAATAAAAGTTCCCAGAAAAAATATCCTGTCCAGCACATCAATCTGTAATACTGGTTTTTTCATTAGCTCCACGTTTCCATTTAATTGTTACAACTAATGTCTCTTTTACAAGTATATACTTGGAGCGTGTTAGATTAATGGACCTCTCTTCTCATCTCTTCACTGCAGCATCATGAACTTGCCATAGAGGACTTACATTTCTTGACATGATTGACAACATCTTTGTTTGTAGGTGTCTATCAAGCATAACTTTAGTTGCTTTACAAATGTACAGTAGTGAGTTGTATCCTTGCATTCGCCTTCTGAAAAATATATTTAGACAT